AAAATATTAATTTTTAAAATAATAAAATTAAAATAATACTTATTTTTCTAAGAAATTCGGTTAGCTGCATCATTCTTTCCCGCTTGTGAAAAAAACTCGTCTCCGGAGTTTCTATTTGCTCGAAGATAACTGGACCATCTGAGTTATATTCCGACATCAAAGCCTTAAGTATCTTGAGAGTTAAGTATTTCAAAATCTAAAACTTCAAAGTAAGGATAGTCTTCAGAATGATTATAAGGAAACAAATTTTCCTATACACATATTAACACAACTATCATTCGATATAATCTAAACCCAAATTTGAACGGTTCAATACCTCAAAGTTGTGCAACTTTTCATGCATGTATATTCTCTTCAAACGGATCATAGAATAATATTCCCCATTATTTGGAAATCGATTTTGAATGAACTCTATCAGAAGACATCATGGTAATACCAAGTATATTTGATCTGTTGCACATATAAAATAAAATTAACACAATATACCTGTGCCTAACTCTTGATATTTATAGCTCTACCTCAACAGACAAAATATGATTAAACATAATCTAGTTCCATAATCAAATGAATGGTTCATCATACAAAAAATCGGTGGTTTACTCCAAATCCTACAATCGGATGCCTGGAATAATTTGATGTGATAAAGGCCATTTTAATCCTGAGCAACTCTATCCTGTTTTGTGATTTGTTCACGGATCTTCATATTTTTCAATGCATGATCTCTCCTCGCGGTCCTTTCACTATGAAAAACTCAGTCAGGATAGAATCATCATCTATTACCTTTCCTCCTCCACAGGAACCTCTCGAGTCATCACTTTGATTCCTACGGCAGTTGAAGACAAGACGTTAGCAAGCTCTGATACCAACTGAGTGCCAGTGCATAATCGAAATAAGTAGTAACAATCTTAAGATCCGTTGATTCACACAAAGAATACCGGAAATAAGACTCCTCTTTAGACCCTGATTCCCAAGAAACAGAGTTTAAAGGCTCAACGCACAAGTTGATTCACACCAGAATATTAACCAAAGTTGGAACAAATAGAGTAATAAAACTCAAAAAATATATTAATCATCAAAACTCTCTCCCTTGCCCTAAGGCTTACATCTTTATTTATAATGAACCTAATTCTTGTAGAACAAGAAACAAATAAAATAGGATAATAAAATCAAAACTAAGAAAATAGGAAAACTACAATCATATTAATTAGGAAACTAATAACTAAAATAATTCCATAATATTCTTATACCAATTTAGAATATTTCATGGTCAAATATTTAATTTTTAAAATAATAAAATAAAAATACTTATTTTCTAAAATTCAGTCTGCATCAGAAAGGTCATGTAATTAGAGAATTCCTCTATTAAATATTAAATGTGTAACTGATAAATACATTTTAGGTCATGTTTGTTTGGGTGGACATATGAGCTTGGGATTGGACTAATAATCCAATACAAGTTATTAAATCCAATGTTTGGTTAAACAATTGAAGTAGGGACTAATTATTTTAAACTTGACTATTAGTTAAGTATAGTGATACATAATCCAACGGATTCGTAATCCTAGAGACTATTTTAAGTCCATCGGAGAAGTCATGGGAATGCTAATCCAATCCGCCCAAACAAACATGGCCTTAATGTAAAATTGTGTATTTCTGTCCACATACTTAGTTTGAAGACTGACGAGCTAAGATTGTTTGTGTTTTCTTAGTGATGATGAGTTCAAGACATTTGATGTTATTGATGTAAGGATAGAGATAAACTGTAAGTGCACAAATCTAAAAACACAAAATAATACACAGAAATAAAAAAAACTCACACTATCTGATTAATTTGTCAGATTATTAAAAAATCTTTATGTACCCTGAATCTTTCTAAAGAAATAAATAAATAAATCTGTTATGGCAAACAAATCTTTATATACCCTGAATCTTTCTAAAGAACACATTGTCTGACATTATTAAAAAAAAAAATTTGTGCCTTATAATGTGATACCTTCACACTATCTACTATTATTTAAAAAAAAAAAAAAAATTAGATTTATTTATTCTTTCACATGCATTGTCTGAGATTCAGATTTATTTATTCAAGTTAATCATCCACATATACCTTAACAGTACAATTTTTGTGCCTTATAATGTGACCTTTGATCATGCTCAAGCTGCCAAAGAAATTTATGAGAAATTTCAACATCTGGTAGGTTGGCATTAGGCAATCTAGATGTTGAGGCTACTCCCTCTCATGCTCCCAGTTATAAAAAGTTATTCAGTTTGCTCTTTTACTAATTTGTCTATTGTATTTAAGGCCTCGTTTGGGAACAGGCTAATTTAGTAACTTTTTGGCTATTTGGCTAAAATATGAGCTAAAAAAAACTAGTATGTTTGGGATGACTTTTTACAAAAAGATGTGCACAAAATAGAAAGAAAAGAGAATTTTTAACTTTTTGGTATGGGTTGTTGACTTTTTGACTAATTTAATAACTTTTTGACTTTTTAACTAAAAAGTTCGGTTACCAAACGAAGCCTGATTCAAACAATAATTCATTGAATGGGAGTGAGGAAGTTGAAGAACAGGATAACAATCTTGATATTAACGAAATTGGCGAAGTTGAAGAACCCGAGAAGGGGATGTATTTTAGCTCAAAACAAGAAGTGTACGCATTTTATGCACAATATGCGAAACATTGTGGATTTGCTATAGCTTTTAGATCACAAAATCTAACAAGTGATGGGGAAGTGAAGTACTTTGGAATTGAATATACTCGGGCGAGGTTGAGAACAAAAAGATCAGAAATCAATCCCTTGGAACCATCTTTGTCATCCAAAATTGATTGTAAAGCAAGGGTCAAAGCTAGTCTACAAAACGATGGCAAATATAAGTTAACCACAGTTGTGCTTGAGCACACTCATGATTTAGTTCCTACAGACTCACGACATTTTGCAATGAATAAGAGGATTCATACTCCGGTCAAGAGAAGACTAGAAGTGAACGATGCAGCAGGGATTGGGGTGGTGAGGAATTTTCATTCCATAGTTGTTGAAGCAGGGGGATATGAGGCATTAACGTTTGATGAACGAGATGCAAGGAATTATATTGAGAATGCTAGAAGATTGAGACTTGGGCTAGGAGACGCCGAATCAGTTACACTTTATTTCCATAAAATGCAACAACAAAATTCGAACTTCTATTCGGCAATTGACCTTGATGAAGATGGTCGCATGCGAAACTTGTTTTGGGCAGATGCAAGGAGTAGGACGGCTTATAAAGCATTTGGGGATGTTGTCTCATTTGACACAACCTATTTGACAAACAAGTATGATATGCCATTTGCTCCGTTTGTAGGAGTTAATCACCATGGACAGACAATCTTGTTTGGATGTGGGTTGTTATCTAATGAGAACACTGAGACATTTGTGTGGCTATTTAAAGAATGGTTAAGCTGCATGTCCGATGCTCCTCCAAAAGCAATAATAACTGACCAGTGTAGAGCTATGCAAAATGCCATAGAAATAATTTTCCCACAGGCTCGACATCGTTGGTGCTTATGGCATGTGATGAAGAAAATTCCGGAGAAACTTAGAGGATATTCACAATATGAAGGCATAAAGGTTGGTTTGCAAAATGTTGTTTATGATTCATTGACGAAAGATGAATTTTAGGGAAATTGGCTTACAATGGTTACAAAATTCAATTTGAATGATAACGAGTGGTTAGGGGTATTATACCGTGAGCGACATAGGTGGATTCCTGCCTATGTTAAAGACATATTTTGGGCTGGCATGTCAACTACCGGTAGAAGTGAGAGCATGAATGCATTTTTTGATGGATATGTGAACTCGAAGACTACCTTGAAGCAATTTGTTAAGCAATATGACAATGCCTTGAGAAGTAAGGTGGAAAAGAAGACAAAAGCAGATTTCAAATCTCGTAACCAATTGTATGATTGTCTAACGGTGTATCATTTTGAGAAGCAATTTCGTGCAGCGTACACAAATGCGAAATTTAAAGAAGTTCAAGCAAAAATGAAGCGTTTAGTGTATTGTCGTCCGAATCTTGCAAAAGAGGAGGGATCAATTTGTACGTATCATGTGAGGGAGGCTATTCTTTTGGGTGAGGGTATGAAGAAAGTAGAATTTATCGTGTATTGTAATTCAACAGAATGTGAGCTCCAATGTATGTGTCGGTTGTTTGAGTTTAGAGGCATTATGTGTGCCCATTCACTTAGTGTGCTCATTGAGAGGTCCATATATGAGGTGCCACATAAATACATTGTCTCGAGATGGAGAAAAGATTTGGAACGAGGGTATACATGCATTCCAACCACATATACTAACTTCGGGGCTACTATAAATCCAAAGTTGCATGATTCCTATCACAAGACGTTAGATGAGATCCTAGAACTTGCCACCAATGACGATGGTAAACACAAAGTGATTCAACTTGGGTTGAGGGAAATCAAGGATCGAGTGAAAACTATTGAATCGGGTACTGCGAGTAATGTGCCATGTACTAGTACTCTACCACCTTCTACTAGTATTGTACCACCTTC